TCTGACGTTATGTCTGGGGAAGTTTCTGAGTATGCGAGGCATGCACATGCCCAACATCAAAGTCTGGCTGAGACTAAGAGTAGATTGCCTCAGCCTTTATAACCTATCGGGAATGGGGCATCACTGTCTCTCTTTCTCTTTCTCTCTCTCTCATTCACTCTTGTAAGAAATAAATAAAACTAAAAGCAAAGAAGCTAAACTACACTAAGAGTGGATCTGGGTGACCCCCCCCCCAAGAAAACTAACATAACAATTCCTTTGTATCCAGAAACATTGTCCTTAGAAATCTGCCTAGATGAATAGTGATAAAAGCGTTTCTCTCAAGCACAAACGGAGGTGTATCAACACATTGTATTCTAATTTCACCACTATGTACTGAACATGGGGTGACAGAAGAAATTCCCCAGATCTACTGTAGAGAAATATGTTATGGTCAAAGATCACAGGTTTTCAGAAATTGAACTCTATTGTGGGAAATATCTTCTATGTTTGGGAGAAAGTGTAAAGAGACAACTAATGACCAAGAGTGAAGTCTGTGGTAGAATCTGGTGTGATGCTCTCCAAATCCTTTTCTATTTCTTTGATAAATAATCAAACAAACAAAATAAAACCCCCAGTGCTCTCATATTGATTTTGAACTGTGTGATTCTTTCCCATAATGTCATGTGTAGAGATGATGTCTTTTATGTACTACTGCTCTTTAAAGTGGGTTTTCTTCCTTATGGGCTGTCGTCAATGTGCAGTTCTTTGAATATCAGTCCAGTAGGGGACTAGAAAGATGACTATTTGAACAGTGAGACTCTTTGAGGGAAGAACTAAGGTTTCTGAATTACTAGCCACAAAATTGTACTGTGATATGAATGTAAGATACTTCTTTATTTTGCTAAGCCATTGATAAGTTTGAGTTATTTTTTTGAGTTATTTTTTCAGTTGCTAGATTTTTTTTTTTAGTGATTGTGATATTTAATTGAATAATGTAAAATCAATGCTCATTTCTAATGATAGTCAGGAGCGAGATCATTCTACCCTAATGGGAAATGAACACTGGATATGTCCCACTCTGCATGGAACAGACAAGTTAGCAACAAACAATGACTGCAATTCTTATGAGTAGAAATAAGTGAAAGAAGCTCCATGTGAAAATACCAAATTAGTGACGAAAAGAAGACAGAGGGCCAGTGTGACAGGCTTGCTGTGTCAAAAAGAAACAGATTCAACATAAATAAAATGAATGCAGTTTTAGAAAAACTGACAAATAGTCATAGAACCGAAACAGAAGGGAACAAATGGAGCTGCATATATAGGAAATGGGTAAAAGATGATGAGAGGAAAGTTTTCTGTTTGGGGATATTCCCCCTGTTCATAGCACTTCTCACTTATTGACTGAATTATATTCCTGTGACTTTGTCATTAAGTGAATTGATCAATATGTGAAAAGTTAAAAGGCAGTGTCTTGTGGTGTGTTCTGGCACGACAAAGTGTGTATTTTTCAATAGATATTATGTGATGCCACACTAAAATAATATAGTAATTCTACTGATATAAAAAGCATACCATAAACTCCAAAAAGTGACAAGACACACTACAACACAATAACATAAATCTGTTGTGATCACTGTTATTTATTCTGAATACTACTATGGGTACACAAGAAAGAACAAATTTATAAACAAATATGTAGCTTCTTGTAATTCTTGTGATTGTGAATATGTCATGTAGTAAATACTGTCTACAGAAACAAAACAGACAGAGTAATCAGATTCCAGAGAAATACAGATACCCAAAAGGATATTTTTTTGCCCTGGACAACAGGTCTTAAGTCTGAGTGGTTGTTGGGACCAACAGAAGGCATAATGGTTACATCAATAGACTCCAACTTGGCCAACTGTGGTTTATGTCCGGGACCAGGATACTTGAATCTCACCAGGTGTGTGTGCATGTGTGCTCAAAATCTGAGAGGAGAATGGAGAAGAGATTGTAATGTGGCCTTACAACCCCTGGGGCTGATTTCTTGCATTCTGTCTTTGTTTCTCTGGCGAGTGCACACATCCTATAGATAGAAAAAGATCTCTCTTCACAAAAAGTATGAGTAGTTGTTAAATAGGTAGGTCGTTAAGTGATTAAAATGTTTCTTTTTCAGGCAGGATATATTTCATTTTTTAAAGTATTTTTATTAACATATGACATTTTTAAATGGTTGTGTAGGTACAACATGATTTTTATTTTTTAAAAAAATTAGATTTAATCACTATACATCTTTACAGTGAGCAACACAGTTTTTCCTGCAATAAAACAGTGCATATTAGTCAAGTCAAAGATATAACCATATATATTATCATCAACAGATTTGTATTTCATTTGCAATCATTAGACACCTCCCATGATGGATCATCAGTTATAATAACATGAAAAAAATCTATATGTTTGTCTGTTGTAATAACATGAAAAAAATCTATATGTTTGTCTGCAGAAATTATATTCCTTCATTCCAGAAAAATTAACCTATGTACAGAGTATTCCCCTTTTGAATAGGAATATTACCATCGAGAATGTTGAAGACAGCAATAACCATATATATTATCATCAACAGATTTGTATTTCATTTGCAATCATTAGACACCTCCCATGATGGATCATCAGTTATAATAACATGAAAAAAATCTATATGTTTGTCTGTTGTATATTGTATGTTTGTGTCAAGCTTTTCTAAAAGTTTTGATTTTCTGGATCTGGAGAATTGTGGGATTGAAAATAAGAAGGGCAAATTTGCATTAGTTACTAAGGACCTTAAATGTAATAGCTAGAAAGATTTTAGCTTTCTGCAAAAGTAATGCTACACAATTAATTGGTATTACACTTTCAAGAGACTCCTCCCTCAGGGGAGCTCTCTGCCAGTGAGGTACTGCAGAGGTAGATGAGTCTATCCAAATGGAATGGTTTTAAAAAGTGACCAGAATGATTGCCTTACAGAAGCAGTCTTCTAGAAATTAAATTGATACACAAGAGAAGACCTTCCCCAGGGAGAGAGTTAGAGTTCCTATTTAAGAGCAGTTGGTATTTGAAGCAAGCCAAACAAATTGTAGAATTAGAGAGACTTTCTGAGAAAAAAAGAGACCTAAAAATTTATAATGTAAAAATCACTTATTCTTATACATACAGCTCATGAAAACACATGAAGGTAAGCTGTAACTGTGTTGTTAGATTATGTTGAGGCTATTTCTAAATTTGAGAATCAAGATTTAAATAGTGAGTGTGAAATTTTGAGAAATTAATCTGAAAATGAGTTAGTTAAAATAAATAATATAGTTCTTAATTTTTGTATAAAGTTAAATAAAATTAAGTCTACGTTGGGGCCAACAGGTGGCATACTGGTTAAGGTGCTGACCTCCCAAATGGTCCACCAAAGTTTTAACACCAGACCTGGCAGTTTGCTTTCTTGCATTCTTTATCTCTCTTTCTCTTTTTTTTAACTTACCTCTGTCTCTCTCTTAAGAACACATATACCCATTAACAAGTTTTTAAAAATAATAATATTTTGGGTCAATTAATTGTAGTGGTTACATTGCTGGACTCCCACATGGCCAACTGTGATTTGAGTCCTGGATCTGTTAGCTTGAAATTTATGCCATGCATATGTGTGTGTGTATGTGTCCAAGATCCGGAGAGTAGAATGAAGAGAAGGGATTATGGTGTGGCCACCCCTCTAGGAGGCGATATCTCTCTTATCCTCTCACTGGCTCAGTTTTTCTCTTTCTGTTGAGTGCAAGCACCCTAAAGGAAAAACCTCTACAAAATAATAATCATCATAAGTAAAATCTTTCTAAAAATTAAGTTTATGTAAAATAATAATGATATCAATAATAAAATGATTTATTTAAAGTAACTTGATAACTACTACCAATGGAAGTATGTAAATATGAGAGAATATTTCCCTGATCATATTTATTTATGAATGTGGTAATTCAAAAGCATCAGCTGATGGAGCTAGAGGTATGAAGATACATTTGAGGAGATATGGAAAGACATAAATATTTATTTAGAAAAATTAGGATAAAAACACTGTGAAATTGTAAAGGGAATTGTCAAGCAATGCTGACTTACCAACTTCACACCAGATGACATTAATATGAAGTGTAGCAAGACAGGGTGTTTGCAACTTCATTTTGCTTTCTTCTAGTTCTCAGTGCCATTCATATGCTTTGGCTACTTGTATGTCTAGGGTAAAATAACAGTTAAATTTAATCAAAGTTGTACTACTATAAGACAACATTATGAAGGGAAAAGAGAGAAAACATGTTGAATTCAGTTGTAGTGAAGTATATGTGACTAAAGCATCTCACATGAATAAGAAAAATTGAAATGTATGAATAGTATTTTTTGATTATGTTAATAGTTCATTAATATTTTACATAGATCATTTATAGAGTGTTAAATAAAATTAATAGATGGCATGCTCAGATTAATATTTTTATATTCAGTAAGAATTTTGGGAGTGATACATCACTTACAGAACAATAACAAAGCATATATTTATTTACTTAAATCAAAAAAAGTCATTCTCATTGGAGTATAAAAGAGATGCCTAAAAACTTTTTGTGAATAAGAATTTAATATAAACTTGAGAGAAACAAATTCTTCTTAAATTGAAAGAATATGAAATGTGATTACCACTAGCACAGAAAGAGCCTGTATCTTAATTCCACTCTTTATATTGGAGTACTAAAATATTTCTCCACAATGTTCTCTAATTTATACTTCTCAGTATCTCTGATATCATTACAGCTAAATCTATAAAAATATATTAGATTATTACTTCTTGAATTGATTTCAATTCCAGTATCAGTCCCCTTCTGAAGTTTCTAGCTCCACTCCTAGTAAAGGCACTCTCATTTCTTAGTAATGGAAGAAATAATTGAACAAGTTACATCTTTTTATGCATCTCTTCCAGTAAACAAAAGGGGAAAGGCTGTTTTGACATGCGAATGAATTAATCATTATGATTTACCATATCTGCAGATAAAGAGCAAATTAAAGCAGAAAATTCAAATATCACTGCCATGATGTACTTTATTCTGTTGGGGTTTTCTGATACTCCCAATCTCCAGCGGATTCTGTTTGGTGTATTTTTACTCATATATTTGAGTGTCTTGGTGTGCAATAGCATCATAATACTAATTACAAAAATTGATCCTGATCTCTACACACCCATGTATTTTTTCCTGGGCAATTTTTCCTTTTTGGAAGTTTGTTATGTAACAGTAACTATCCCAAGAATGCTCATGGACCTTTGGATTCAAAAAGGACATATCTCTTTCCTTGCCTGTGCTGTACAGATGGGTTTTTTCCTTATGCTTGGAGGCACAGAGTGTATCCTCCTGACAGTGATGGCCTATGACCGCTACGTGGCCATTTGTAACCCTCTCCATTATGCTCTAGTGATGAACCACAAGGTCTGTATTCAGCTGGTGGCTGCCTCCTGGATCAGTACAGTTCCAGCTGTCATTGGGCAAACATGGCTGATTTTCTCTTTGCCTTTTTGTGCATCTCACATGATCAATCACTTCTTCTGTGATATCCCACCCATACTCAAGCTTGCTTGTGGTAACAAATTTGTGACCGAAACAGCAGTCTTTGTAGTTACAGGTTCCGTGGTGTTTATCATGATTCCATTTCTGTTGATTGTTGTCTCTTATGGCAAAATTATCTGCAACATTCTGAAATTGTCATCAGCCAGAGGGAGGTCTAAAGCTTTCTCCACCTGCTCTTCTCACCTGACAGTTGTGGTGTTATTCTATGGAACAGGTATCATTACTTATTTACAACCCAAACCAAATCAGTCTGAAAGAATGGGGAAGCTAATCTCTCTTTTCTACACTGTTTTGATCCCAACTTTGAACCCAATCATATATACTTTGAGGAACAAAGATATCATGAAGGCAGTGAGAAAACTACTAGCTAAATTATTAGCATAAGGAAAAGACTTGACTTATAGAAATAATTTGCTTATAGTTTGTCATTTGGCTAGAATAGAAATACATTGTTAGCTTTGTTCCCATGTTCCTAAATAAAGATAATAGAATTATAATGTTGCTCCCACATTGTGTAAAGAGATCTTTCTTTCACAAAATTTAAGGACCCCTGTGTAACCAGAGAACAGGTAATCTCCAGTGCAAAGGTCATATTTTTAAGGTCAGTTATTTTCTTCATGGTTAACTATTGGGATGAGACTGTCTGAGCTATAAAATATGAGTTAGCTGTGTGTGTTGGCTAAGCAGTGATTAGGATCATGCTCTGTGATAAATTTTCTTTGACCTTCCCATTCCTTCAGATGCATTTTCTGCTATTCTCTGACCCTATGGTTGTATTTAACCAGTGAGACACTCTACACACTGCAAAGGTGGTGGAAACAGGGGATCAGAGTTTCTTTACATCTTTCTACCCTGCATCTATCTCTTGTCTCTGTTCATGTTCTTTGAAGAATCCAAATCCTAAGGGATACACTGCACTCCTCTATGGCATCATGAAGTTCTCCATTATTTCCTCTCACTGCAGCTATGTGATATCGATTGAGTACTGGAAGCTTTTAAAATTCCCACTGTCAACTATTCATTCTCATGTGCAGTGGGTTGAATGTTTTCTCCTCAAATTATATCTCTATCTGATGCCTTCAGATGTTTTCTTTTTGGGACAAAAAGGATTTTTGCAGATATAATTAACATGTGGTTTAGGGTGGCAACAATAAGTGTTCTTAAAAGAAACTGAGAGTTGAAGAATGTCAGGAAGAAACTGAAAGTTGAAGAAATTCAGGAAATAAACCCACAGAAATGATAAGAATGTCAAATTAAGGTAACGAAAAGGATTACCTTGAAACCTCCACAAATCAAGAAAGTTGAAGAGCCACCAAACCTGGAAGAGGCAAGGAATGGTTTTTGCATAAACCCTTCTGTTGGAGTGAGGCACTGCCAAAACCTTGATGGTGGACACTAAACATGGGAACCATGAGATACTAAATTTTGTTGTTTTAAACCATCCAATTTTTGGTGATTTAAGGTAGATATATAAAAACAGTACTACACATAGATGTTTCTCGGATTAGTTTTTTTAAACTTTTCTTTTAATGTCATCTCTAGATGAATTCTGTATTCTGCCAGATCCCAGCTGTTATACCATTCCCCCTCCCTTCAATTTTTGCATCCATTTTGGGCCATAATTTGATAGTTTTCTTTTGAAAGAAAAATAAGAATACTTTTACTTTACACATTGAATCAATGAAATCTCACCTTGACCTATCAGCATGAAACTCATGCCAGGCATGTGGCAGGTGTGCATGTATGCCCAAAATCTCAAGAGGAAAGGAGAGACCCATGTAAATGCCTCTCCAACTTTCCTGCCTATTAGACTCACCTGAAGTGATTTTTTTTTTTTAAAGAGGTTTTCACTATAGGGCATGTGGGCTCACCAGAAATACAGAGAAAGACAGAGAGACAGAAAGTGAGAAATCATCCTCTAGGAGGATGAACACACTGCAATTCCTTCTCCTCCATTCTCTTCTCAGGATCTTGGGCATACACGCACATGTGTTTAAGCATGAATTCAAGCCACCAGGTCCAGGACTCAAACCTCGACTGACAACATGGGAGTTCAGCAACACAACCATTACCCCATCCCTAGAAATTTCTGCTCTTAACATATAGGAAAATGTGTAAATGTATTTATAAAACATAACACTGTATTCATTTAACCATGACTGATAGCACTCTATAACTTCATATAACATTTTAAATGTGCATGTTGGTAGCGGGTAGTACACATACTAGTAGTGTCTGGAAGGATATGAATTAAGAGAAAATATTGGCTTTCTCATAGTGCCAGGATTTTGTCTCTCATATTATTTGTATTTATTTATTGTTAATTTGCTATAAGTTGAGTATGAGAGGCAGAGGTAGAGAAAGTACTGCTTAAAGGGGTATGGCCATGCCATAATCAGTTTTCCTCCATTCTCTTATTGGGACCTTGGGCACACGTGCACACATAGCTTCCTCAAGCTGCCACATCCAGTACTCCAAACTTGTAGTCAGCTCTGTGGGATCCAGCCATGTAAACCACCATGGCATTGATGGCAAACACATAATTATCTTTTTTTTTTTTTTTCTTGTTTTGGAGGGGTTTTTTCTGTTTGTTT